GCGAAAGCGAAACGGGCGCGGAGCGCGGGGGGGCCACCCGCCCTGTCCGGGGCCGGGGATGCCCGGGAGAATCCTCGCTTCCCCGGAACGCCGGGACGGCTTTCCCGGTCACTGCCGGCCGAAACCCCTGTCCTGGAGCCASCTTTGCTCCTGGTTTTACAAAGGGAACAGGGAAAGTCCCGACCACTGCCGGCTCCATCCGTCCCCTTGGTTGTCCAGCGCGGCACAGTACTCCTGACACCAACAGTTTCTTTAGGGTCAGAAGGGAAAAGAAGCTGTTGACTTCATTATCTTTCTTCTGGATATATGTTAATTTTCTTCCTTAGTCCTTACTTTCCCCCTGTAATGCTTTTCTTTTTTTTTTGTAATCTGTTTATCTATTCATCTGTTATTTATATGTAGCAAAATTAACATAAAGAACCGGATTTACTACAAAACTATTCCAATGCCACCATCGTTTCAGCAATTTCACGTACCAATTCACAAAGCCTGGCAAGACTGCTTAACACGCCTTTAGCAGCATCTCTGCAGCAGCTGGGGTTTTTTGTTTTGTTTTTCTGATATAGCATTCCTGAAACGGATGCATACAATGTGGAGACAAGAGCTKCAGGGGTTTTGGTCTTAAATAGAGAATGATGCTTCTATAGAGGAGAAAGGACAGGGCTTCAGGGGGGGTTCTTGCTTGTAAAGCTGAACAAGACCCCCAGCCTAATTTAAATGACTGATAATGCAGTATGTTTACTGCATTGTTGACAGTGTTGACATTATTAACCCGGGCTGTGTGGGAGAGTGGATTTTCCAGTGGGTTTGAATGCCATGGGTGAGAGCCAGCGGGGAGGCGGCGTGTCCGGGCGCGCCGGCGGCATCATCCCCATTCCCCATTCCCCATTCCCCATTCCCAGCGGCGGCGGGGGCTGTGCCTGTCCCGGTGCTGTGCCCGGCTGCAGGAAAAATGTGGCGGGTGAATAATTGATGTGGAACAAAGTGCTGCTTAAGTGAGCAAAGTGCCCTTCTGCCTGCACAGGAGACAGGGTGGCTGTGGGTGTGTGCCCCGAGACGCTCCGGTAGCACAGGCTGTCCCACCTCCCGTGGCTGGCTGGAGTCCTTTCTGTGCTGTTCTCTCCATCGCCTCGGTCTCGGCTCTGACAGAGCGGATCATAAGTCCCAAGGTTCCTGATTTCCGTTTGAGGCTCAGAAGAGAATGTTAGATTTTGTTCCAGCCTGGTTCAGTAACAGTTTCCTCGCTCTACAGTCCTCTCTCTGTCCCTGCTCCTTGGGCTTATCATCCAGCTCATCTTCTTCCTCACCTTTTCTGGGCTCACCAATTCCAGCTCCTCACTTCCTCAAAGGCAGACAGGGTGATACATGTTAGTAACTCGAGTAGGATCTTTGTTTGAGGAGGTGATGACTTTCCCCATTAGTCTGCCTGCAGTAAAAACTAGGATGGACTGAAGCCATGTGTAGGGAGCACAGCAGCACCTGGCTGCAATCAAATCTGTAGTGGAAAAGAACAGTTTCACTACATAAACACCTTGTGAGAGAGGAGCCAAGTACAATATTTGASTCCAAGACTGGAAAGTTTACTTTTGTATATTTTGTGCCAATCTAAAGTGTGACTCGCTGGCACAGCAGCATGTATTTTGTACCTCTTGGGATCAGTTTGACTTAATTTTTCCCTATCTTCTGAAATATTCTGGAACTATTTATAGGGCAAAATAACACTCCTGAGGATGTATGAAGAAGGCAGAGGGAGTTGTGCTTCTCCTTGTGTCAACATGTATTTAGCATAAAAATGTGTCTGTAAGGCAAATGAAAATGCACAGAGTTMAAGATCCCTTGCTCTCATTGGGAGGTGTCTGTTCTCAGGAGGCTGTAGCTGCTGTRAACTCCATCCAATACGTGGAAGTASAGGCATAAGTAATGTATCCTTTGATTCCATCCACTCCTTACAGCTCAGCGTGTTGCCATCCTTTGGATTTCTCTTTGACATTGATGGGGTGCTGGTCCGAGGAAAGACCCCCATTCCTGCTGCCAAAAGAGCCTTTCAGAAGCTGGTGAATTCTCAGGGACAGTTCCTGGTGCCCGTGGTCTTTGTCACCAATGCAGGGAACTGCCTGCGCCAGAAAAAGGCTGACCAGCTGTCTCACCTGCTGGGAGTTCCAGTGAGTCCCTTAAATCYTATTTATTTCATTATCACGCTGAATGTGTCAGATTTGTTATCTTCCATTAAATGCTGCTCAGTTAATCAGGTCTCCTTTTCCCTTAAGCCCTCTGACATGCTTTGCTTTAYTAGAAAGTAAAAAATGCTGTCCGAAGCTGATGGCATTTCCACTGGTAAAAGARCTGATTTTTCCAATAGTAAAGCTGAAGGTATTTCTTTGCAAAGGTGCTAAGTAGTGATTCATAGGAGCATCCTTCCAAGATAAAAATCTTACTAGTTAATACCTGTCCTATTGAAGGAGGAGGGATAAACTAAAWGATCTTCTGGTATAATTAAATGAATGCTGCAGGCAAGCAAATGACCCACAATTGGAACTAGGGCAGTTCTGCTTCCCTGCTTGTTTCCAAATGAATTTGGTGATTCTGTAAAACTAGGAGAGAAGGGCTTGTTGATATTGAATAGAGCTGAAAGCTGAAAGGGGTGTGTGTGGTAATTTGTCAGTAAGGTATTTTTTTTCTGGCCTATTACCAATACATCATTTGTGAAAAGAGAAAATGCTGATTGTTTTGTAATTCCTAGAATCTGTCACATCTGTTAATTGAATCTATGTATAAACAACTTCTCTGAAAAACAACAGACTCCTTTTGTTTTTAATCCTAAACAGATCTCACAAGATCAAGTGATGATGTCACACAGTCCTCTGCGGATGTTCAAGCGTTACCATGAAAAATGTGTTCTGGTATCTGGACAAGGACCACTTCTTGATATTGCTCAAGAGTATCTTTAAAAAAAAAATTTAAAAAAAACAACTTTCCATGAAAGTGTTTTCCTCAGTCAGGTTCAGGGGATCCTGTGGATCAAGTGAAAATCCAGTATTTCAATCTTACAAATGCAATAGTAAGTAGTAATGGTACTTCTTAGTGTAGTTTCAAATTTATGTTTTGAATGTGGTTTTATATTAAGTGCCCAAAGAACTTGAATTATATTATTGTAGGGGTGGTATCAAGATTTCAAACTCTAACTTAATAGGATGTAAGCTTTGCTCATGCTTCCATTAAGTCCCTTCTGCACTTCTTCCTTTAGTGGGATTTTCATTAAAGTTGGCGTAAATCGTAAGTTGTGAAAAATGTATATGCAACTTGTAAGCATAAGCTCTATTTCAAATATGAAGTTGAGGAAAAGGTATTGAAGGAACATTCCAGGTAGTGATCMAAATTTGTTAGGCTTGGCTAGGAGAGGGGTATATGAGAAAACTGAGAACAAAATGGAAGAACCTTGGTCCCTCATAAATCAGCAGTGGGATGATCATCTTTTTGCCTCATAGAAGGAAAAGTTCATCTTTGATGTTGCTTTCATTCCTAAATAATTTGTAAATTGAATACATTCAAATGGTTCAAGTGGAATTACCAGTTTGAAAACCTTTTCCTATGAGCAGCTGTGTGTCCTTAGCTGGTGTGTCCTAGCCTTGGTTTCTGCCAGCCCATCACCATCGACACCCTGCGGGAGAAGCGCCCGCTGCTCGATGCCGTTGACCATGACAGGAGACCCAACATCCTGGTGAGTGTACATTTTTGTTTTAAACCTTTCTGTTTGCTCATTGCATGACATCCCATAACATGGGGTCAATATTTAACTACCAAGCTAATGCTGCTGYTCTTACTTTGTATGTTGCTTTTCTGCTTCCTTATTTGTTTTATAACAGCATTCTCAAGAGCAACTCTATAGACCTTTYTTCTCTCAGTAGTAATTCTTTAACCCAGTCTATGATTTTGTGACGTCCTGTTGTGGGAAAACTTACAGTCTAATACAGATACCTAATGCAAAATAATCTAATACAGATACCTAATACAGATACCTTTGGCAAGCTGATTCGCTTCTTCAGAAAGTGTGGGAGATAACAAAAGCCTTTCCCCTGTAGTATGGGATTGTGCTGGTATTGTTTCTAAGCTGTGAGGGAGCTTTGCTTGTAAATTACTGCTTTGAAGATAAAGAATTTCCCCTCGAAGGACTCCCTTTGTTGTTTACACCACTATTCAAATATTAGCAGTAGGTTCCAGTTGAACTGTGCAGAATTTAAAGTGTCTGTACTGAACATGTTCAGGGTCAGCCTGCACAGTGCATTTCCCCACCTGAAATCAGGACATTCTCTGTGCCTCACAGAATCCAGAACTCAGGTGTGTCACCTTTTTCTGGGCTTCTCACCCATGTGAGTGGGGAAGGTCAAGAACCTATTGAAGTGTTTGTCRCCACCGAGAGTAGATAATGAAGTGCAAACTCTTAATTGTTTAGCAAGTATATTACATGTTATACAGTGCAATCATTTTTATTAGCAATGTTAAATACATCTCAAAAGTATTTTTCAAGTGTCTTGGWGCTACTGGAGATCTCTCACTCGTGTGGAAAAATAGATGTTCATACATTCATACACRAGTAATTCAAACAACTGGAGCTCTGGGGCTTGCCAGAGGCAGCTCAGGATGAGCAGAAGGCTCGTGCAGGTACAACACAGTCCCTTGTCTGCTGTCCCTGTGCCAGAGGTTTCACTTCAGGATGGAAACACGTGTTTCTAAGTGAACTGACGTCAGGTATATATCAATATATAGTGAATTTCCTGTCAGAGCTGCAGGAGGTAGCTGGGGGAGCTAYGCTTGAATTCATTCTGTTAAAAATAGTAGTGGATGTTTAATCTTGCAGAAAACTTACATTTTTTTCTTATTGCAGTCCCCCTCGGCTGTGGAGCTTCCCAAGATTGAGGGTCAGTTACCTGTCATTTAACTTGTGTCTACCCCTTAATAAATGAAATATCTTTATTTTATAACCAGAAATAATTTTTAGATTGTTAGGCACTTTAGAAATTTGTCTGAGACAGTCCTAAAATTTCCTTGTTAATGACATCATGTGTGGTAAAGCTGGTTTTTAACGTGTGCAGTTTTCAGCCACGTGTTTTTGAAGTTTCATGAGGTGYTACCTTTTTATCTGCCTTTAATAGGCAATTGTTGCCCTCTTTCATAAATGAAGAACTGATGACCCTTGTTCAGAAATAATTGGTCTTGTTCTTACAAGTAGTCAGAATGGTCTCTCCAGAGCTGTGTTGTGAGAAGGGTCTCATTTCAGCTCATTGTGTTCACTCTCATCTTATCTGAACTACAGGAAAGTAGAAATTGGGATATTAAAAAATCCACATCAGATTATTGCTGGGGAACAAAGCCACTTTTAAATACAACATTCAAATTTTGTTCTAAGGTGAACAAGTTAACATCTCTGGTGGAGCATTTAAATACTGTATGTAAACACAGAGGTGGGGAAGACACAGAAATACAATTTAGAAGTTAATATTGTCTGGTGTTCCGGAGACTGCACCAATAAAAAAAATCCCAAATCTATAGATTTTGCAGTGGGGTCTTGTTACTTCTGAGATTTTCTGTGAATGAATGAGCACATGATGTATTAAAACCCTAAATTAAAGTTAATGGGACTGTTTGATCAGTTCCTGGTTATATGAAATTACTTGTTCAGTTTCTCTAGGCCAAGTTTTAGAGCAAGTGTCAGAGATTTGGTGCTCTGTTAACAATTCCATGACTGTGCTGTAATTGTGGTTCTCACAGCTGTGGTGTTGTTTGGGGAGCCAGTCAGATGGGAAACCAGCCTGCAGCTGATAATAGATGTTTTGCTGACAAGTGGCTATCCTGGAAAKCCCTATGGCCAGGAAAACTACCCTCACATTCCTGTGCTTGCTTGTAACATGGATCTGATGTGGGTGGCTGAGGCACAGTCCCCAAGGTAAGTGCTTTATAACATTCATATAACTGGGATCTATTTGGGGCTTCCTCCTTTTTCCACTAGGATTCTGAGTCAACACTTGGATACAAAATGCTTGATGTAGCTTTGCAGCAGGCCTTGGCTCTGAATGCCAACATCTCTAGAGCAATGCACTTTCAGCTAATGCTGCCTTGTTGCATTATTGCATCCAGGAAATCAGTTACTCAAGAGAAAAACTGCTTTTAAGCCCTAAACCCTTTTGTTTCCTCACTACCAGAACAGTGGGGAAAGAGAGKTTTTTCCTGAGGGCCTCAGAGTCTCAGTTCAAAGGCAAGAATGAAAAAATTATCAAGGCCATTGTTTCATTTCATTAGGTCCCTCTTTGGTATTTCTCTTTTGCTGGTAAAGTGCTGACCCTGCTGGTTGAAAGCACTGAGTGGTTTTGAGCTGAGGACAATGCAGTGTGCTCTTGAAGGAACATAAGAAAAAAACAAGTAGAACACGCAGAACAAGGTGGCAGGACCTCTTAGGGTGGTTTTGTTTGATTTTGCTTTCAATAGAAGGTACTTCTTTAATAGGTTCGTTTCCCCTCCCTTCCCCTCAGTCTGTAATTGGAAGATAGGCTGAATTAAAAACGTGTTACTGTGACTTGATTGTTGCCTCAGTCCTGGGTCAAAGATTTGCTCCGATACCTGCCTTTGGAAACAAAGGCCATCTCTAATTAGCATTTTAACCAAAGATGTCTTTATGATAGTTTCAGGCTACAGTAAGGCAGGCAGGATATCTACAGTGAGCAATTTTAAAACTGTTAAACTAATATATCTGTTGTGCCATCCAAATAACAGGGGTTTATTGTGCTATTGATGTTSAGCTAATCAGCACTTAATTTCCAGCAAACCAGCTGCAGAAATGTTGCATGCTGAGGGGAATTTGATAGCTGAAGGATACAATTTATTCCAGAAAAAATAATTAAATAAAAAAGCCTTTAGTGTTTTCAATCTGCACTTAATGTAGTTTGATTTGGTTTTATACCTGTRTAGGTTTGGGAATGGAACATTCACAATTTGGTTTTACATCTGTTTAGGTTTGGGCACGGAACATTCATGGTTTGTTTGGAAAACATTTACAAGAAGATCACTGGCAAAGAGCTGAAGTACGAGGCGCTGATGGGCAAGCCCAGCAGGCTGACCTATCAGTATGCAGAGCACCTGATCCGAGCCCAGGCACTGCAGAGGAGCTGGGAGCAGCCCATCCTCACCCTCTATGCTGTGGGGTAAGGTGTGCTGATCCTCATAGCTACAGCAGGAAATTACTCAGAGTAAATGCCAGCCAAGAAAAACACACAACTCTAACCAGCTTGTTTCTCCTGCCACTGAGACCATCTGACTTTCTTGGCACTATAGTTGTATTTTTATGATGTTTCTAATCTTAAAAAATTAAGAGTACTTTGCTCTTTTTATGTGTAATTTTTATAGAACAAAAGGTGTTTTATGTGCAACTAAGATTTCTGCTGATTTTTTATTTATTTATTTCTGTAGCAGTCTGTGTAAATCTAAAAAAATGGATATGGGTATTTGTTTTAGTGGTGTAACACCRACTGGCTTTGAGTAAAGGATAGAGAATGTAGAGCTAGAATTTATCTCTGAGGTCCTTTAGGTTGGTCATATGCTATTGCATGTGCTGTCACATTATAAAATCCTTTTCAGAGAAGGAGATAAAGCTGGATTGTATTAAAGACTCTTCTAGAATCTCCAAGATGTTTGSAAATATAATAAGCTCATTCATGGGTTGCTCATACCTTGATTTTTTTTCTCCCCTTGCCCCAGTCTGCAGCTGCAGTATGGAGAGTGATTCATTTTTACCGTGTCATGCTTCATGAAAATGGTGCAATAGAATAGCTGTGGAGTTAGATTTCTCCCTGTCTGCCCGATTCCACATAAAGTTGTTTATAAAGTACAGAATAAACTGTTAAATGGAAACTGTAAAAATGTCTTTAGACATCTGAAGCTGCAGTGCTGAGTGCCCTCTCTCCTTTGCAGGGACAATCTCATGACTGATGTCTATGGTGCTAACCTGTACAACCGCTACCTTGAGAAGAACTCCAGGCAAGGTTCCAAACCCCGCATCCAGGCCAAAGTYTCTGGTGGCAGAGGCCCTGCTGTGCTCTCTCAGGGTGACGAGATAGGGCTCAGCTGGGAGAACGAGCTGGCATCTGCAGCTGCTGCCCACTGTAAGTCTGTCCTGGTTTGTACTGGGGTGTACGACCCCCACACCGAGCTGCCCTTGGACACCAGGGACAGCATAACTGAAACCGTGTTCCACGGCCACAGAGATTTTAGGTTTGACCCTGGTTTGGTGGAACCAGACCATATTGTGCCAGATGTTGATGCTGCTGTAGACCTGGTCTTCCAGCTGGAGAACTTTGCACCTAATTGAGATGACAGGATTTTTTAAGGACCACTCAGTGCTGTGCTTTTCTTCCCAAAAGCACACTGTGCTTTACAATAGTGCCACGAACTGCTGCCTTCTACATTTTTTTAACTTCTAAATTAATGCAATCTTCTATTAACTATGCTTATTGGTAGTATATGTAGGAATATTAGCGTGTTTAAGTCTATTAAACATCAATAATGCTTTTTATAGTTCTTCTAAATATGTAATTTCTGTATTTAGTTGCCCTTCATTGTCTTCTCTTGGTATTTCAACAGCAATATTTCATAGTAGTCTATCCATGTACTGGTACTTAGATCCCTCCATGACAGTACCTCCTTTTGTCTGCTGGAATATTTAGATTTTAGGTGTTGGGGATCTTGAGGGTRTCAAATTGTGGTGCTGGGGTCACTCAGTCTGTTCCAAATGGGCTGGTACAGAGCACAACATGTGTTAGTGCTTGACATTCTGCAAGTACTGAATGCTCTCTTCAATTAGAGTGCAGTTCAATCTGTTCCCCTTTGGACTTGCTCTCATATAACCTGCTGCTGCCTTTCTTTGTGTTTGTTTTCCCTTGTCCCTGGAGTTTTATTGCTCCTCTCTGCTGTGACGTGGGAAGTCTKAACAGAAATGCCCCTGTGGGGTGGGCAAGGCTGAGTTGTTCCAGCCATGCTGAGCACAGTCCTGGAAGGAAAGCAGCAGACCTTGGGTGCCTTCTGTGGCCTTTTGCTCTTTGCCTTTCTAGCTGCACCTTTTTTTTTTTCCTTTGAGGAATTTAGAATCTTAGAAAGCTTTAGCAAGCTTGTTTCAGGTGTTTCTGTGAGTTGGACTTTACCACTGAATCAGTGACTACTGCTCGGCCAAAAAGTGCCTCCTAATTTACTTGAAGCCTCATACCACTGTGGTAATTAACTGGCCTTTAGTGTAATATATTTAATCTCATGTCAATGTTRTACGTTGCTTGGTTCATGGATTTTGTAACTGTTCATTTTAGAAGAAAAAAAAAAGTAATTTATTTTTTGTTATTTTTGTAAAATACTTCTAAATGTTTTCATCCAAAASATGTATTTGAAAATATTTCTGTGGTAATTTGTGATAACACGGTATATGTTGTACTTGTGACACAAGCTTGGAAAAGTAACCCAATTTATTGTTTTAAAACCAAAGTCAACTTACACACAAAGATCAATTCACATCAGGGGCTAGTCAGGTTTTTAGGGCTGGGTTTTGTTTAGGCTTTTTTTCCCATTAGAAATTGCACAAAGGAAAACCTGTGTGTTCAGTTTTGCCAGGTTCTTGCAGGGCTGGCAGCACACTGGCTGAAAGCACTGACAGCCATGGTGGCACTGAGTGCAATGACTTCCTGGCCAAATCCTTCACTGCTCGCTATCCCAACAGCAACATCTGAAAGCTCACAGCTGCTATGAAGTCAGATTTTGTTGATGTGTTTGCTCTGTTTGCAAAGCACTGTGATCCCCCTCTGCACTGGCAGGGTTGTTGATTCATCTCTGGTAATGTTTCCTAAGTAGCTTTCAGCATGTCTCGCTGGATCCAGTTTAAGGACACTGCTCTCAACAGTTTATTTCCTGTTTCCTCACTGGAAAAGTATTTACAGCAGCACATTCTTGCCTTTTTATTGGTACAATAAACAGATATTTACCTATTTCTTTAGCACTTTTCTGTAATATACCAAGTATTTGCAAAGAAGGCCAAATGTAAGTAAAGACTGTAATTTTGTATGGTCAGGATGATTTGAAGTCACGTTGTTTCAGTACTAAAGCATGTTGCAGACCTCTCTAACTTTACCAGAATCGGTGAAGCAAAGAATAAAAATGTTGGAAGTTGATGAAGAACAGAAAATGTGCAGTTTGTTTCTCTTTTTTTTTCCCTCTACAATATGCACGAACACTGTGAAAGGTTCATGGAGGAATTGTATATATAACTCTTAAATTTCATCCCTAATGGAAACATTAACATAAAATGTATTTATAGAAAAGGAAGGCAGGATTTTAGTCCCTATCCCTCGAAGACCATTTAGGCTGTGTCTGCATTGCAGGGGTGTGAGTGTTGCCTGGTGATTCTGCTGGAGATGTCTGATGTGATTTTTTGTATGAAAATGTGATTGAACTCAGGAGTGCACTGGGGTGCCACTAGATCTGAATTATACAAAACAAAATACAGGCAGTTGTTGTTGCCACTGGTGGTGGACAAAAAAAGATCAATATATACAGGTATTGCTAAAAAACACAAGAGAAATATTAGTTCAGTAGAYACCTGTGGTGTACCAGTGAGTTCGGCAAAGATTTGGTGACATGCCCTGAAAAACAAATTTTTAAGGAAGGATTTGAAGGAATACAGTGAGTTACCACTGAAAAAAGTATAAAATAGTGCCTCAGAGCTACCACTGTAATTTCTAAGATTTCCTGCTGTACTTTAAAATGAAATGTAGTGATACTTTGTTAGTAACAAGCTAAGATGTGGATGTCATCAGAAGAAATCTGTCTGTGGTACTGGAAAGGTGGATTTTTCACAGTTTTTAAGTAAAACTGAGTTAAGTACAATGTCATTTGCAATTATCCACCCAAGAGTGAGATTGATTAATATTATATTAGGTAAGAAAAAGACTAAGACCCAGTCTTAAGATTTGCTCTCATTTCCTTCACTCTCCTCTTACTGGATTTTTCACTTAACTGTATTTATTTCAGKTTTTTTGCCTCTTTGAAACATTATTTCCCACATTCTGTTCAGCATATTTCAGTCATAACAYAGGTGAGCTATTGTTTGTTACAATACTTTTTTCAAGTTTACAATGTCCTGTTGAAAACACCTAAATGACAGTTTGTACAGGAGATCACTGAAATCACCTTTAAAAATACTTCTGGGGATCTTGCTGAAGGTCCCTCTRAGTAGGACTTGCCTTTTGTGAGTGGTGGTTTAATTTTTGATACTTTTTGTTCTATTAAAAAACCCCAAAACTCAAAACTGACCTTCAAAGGTATATCCTGTAATTATTTTTGCTAAGACAAAACATAGAGTCTACAATCACTTATTATCTTCAGTGTCAAATGCTTTTCTTTAGAAGCATTTTTCAGTTAGAGGAATGTAGGATACTAAAGTTCTAAAAAGCATKAATTTTTCAGAGATCTCTTTGGTATAAAAAAAATCCTGAACTTGCATTTTAAATTAACCACGTCAAAACTTGAATACTTTTACATGTAATGAAAGAATCTATTCTGTGGTACCCTCTACATTTATAAAATCAGTCTATTACACARTRGTTTCCTTTAAAATTATTTGAGTTGCTGCATCCAGAAATAAAACAGGCAAACAAATGAAAAAGAAGGAAATTCTTCCAGAARAAAAAACTGAACACAGCACAGTAAYTAAACTTACTATGGAGAATTGTAGTGTCAASGAGAGTAAAAAGAAAACTTGTGAGCAAAACCAACTTGTTCAGCAGTCAAGGGACATTGAGATCAGTGAGTGACACTACTTGTCATGGAAGAATCTTTTGAAATTGCAGAGTTTTTTAGTTAGTCATGTCCAGGCAGCTTGCCTTAAAGATGTGTGTAATTCATGATMATCTGTTGCAGTGTTTTGTAAGCGCTTTACTTCTTTCCATAAAGTGCT